TCAAGATTGCTGCACATACCAAGATATTTATGCTTTTAGTTATGCTATAGAAGGGCTTTATAGACATCTCTATAGTTCAGATATCCTAGAGAGCACTCTTTTAATGTTCTTTACTTTTATGTGGAATAATAGAAGAGATTTAGAAGAGATTTAGAAGAAATATCCTAATCCTGGGAAGTTAACTTTGTTTCTTTGAAGCAAACATCTATTCCTTAATATTTAATTAGAAAAAACCGCCTTGTTATACTCTGTGGGCACCAGGGAAGGTATTTCTGGAAAGACATTAATTGTTTATTCACCAATTGCTGACTGTTACCATTTCATAGCGTGCACTGTTAGAATTGATTAACCATCTGTTAGTGACTGACTTTTGAAGACTTGACTTTAAATCAAACTCACAGACAGGAAAGAAATTCAAGGAGAAAAGGCTTGATACTGCAGAGCACGGTTTCAGTTAATACCACCCTGCATTAATTGGCAGTAACATGTTTGACATAAGTGGCTGCTGCAAGTACTGCCCTCACCTCATGGCAGATAGGCCATTGCTTTGTAAAGTGTAAGAAAAAGCACTTCATAAATACAAATATAAACACATTGCAAGTGGTGCTTGTAAAAGGAAGCGAGGACCTGGTTTCTGGCACGTTGCCTTTTTACACAGCGAAACAAAATTGTTATTCAAACCTAACAGGGGTTTGGCCAATTTAACAAGCAAGATTTATTGCAGAGTTTCCTTTACTGCTCCAGGATATGATTTCACTTTTGCAGAAGAAAAGAGAGATTATATCATTTACATAACAAGGTAATAAATAAATAATTGGTTACTGTACTTCCAAGTATACTTCCTCATGTGCACAGATGATAAAAACTGCATTCAGATGTTACTGGTCCCATTTCACTCCAGAACAGGGGATTTAAGACTGAAATGTCATCCTGAACTCACCCTTGTGCCTGAATAAATGATAGTGACCTGCTGTGTGAATTGGCTAAGCAGAACCTTGCAGGTTAAAGTGCTCTTCAGGGAAAGGGAAGTCTGAAAACAATTCTGCCTGATATAGCTGTCAGCTCTGTTAACTCTTTGCAGGATATCGCCTCTCTTTTAACTGCAGACAATCCCACAGACTGGGATTGCTCTCTTTTCTTACCAGGCTACCTGGTAAGAAACTTTACCATGTAAAGTAGGCTGCTTAACTGGAGACAATGATTCTGCTTCAGATTGGCTTGACCGCCTGTTAATGTGCTCTGCAACCTCTATATTTTTCTAAGTTTAGGTTTCTCTTGCGCATGAACATTTGTTCTTTTTCTTCTGACTTTAGGCTGAAATTTTCCGTTCTCTTTTTAAGGTTCACCTTCTTTCCTTCTCGCCCCTCACATCTCAGCTCAGGCTGTTTTCTTTGTTTGGAGGCAGATCCTTTGCTGATGTTATTGACACTTCTCCTGAGCATCTGGAATGTATTAGATAAGACCAAAGATCTGTCTAATCCACTACCTCATGTTAAAAAGCAGCTGGTACAGGGGCTTCACAGGAAGGAGCTTAGGGAAGATAGATTATTTATCCCACATATTTTGCCACATGCTGATATCTAATATGTAGGGATCAGCTAATGCCATGAAGTACATGGTATTGTATTTTTGCCAAATATTTGGCCTTTCTTTCTAATCCTCTATCTGGTTTAGTTTGGCCTTTTCTTCCTCCTTTTCCTTGACACTATGTATCTTGATGTATCTTGATCTATCACCAGCCAGAGCAAGAGGTTTTGATGTGATCCAGATTTGACAATGGTTGGCTGCAAGCAGTTTCCAAAGCTGGGGTTTTGCATCTACAGTGGGAATAAACCTGCCCTGGCAGACTTCAGCTGCACTTCAACAATGCAAAATTTTTAATAGTTTGTTTGGTTTTTTTTAACAAGTAATGTCTGTTTTCTCAGGTTTGGGGCTTTGGTGGTTGTCTTTTCCTACCTCTTTCTCTGTAGCTATGGTTCCTGGAAAAATTCTTTTTTTTGATTCTTCCTCCTCCTCCTTTCTCTTCATGAAAACCGTGTTTACTCTGGAGCTGAGCCTTAAAAAAACCTGTCAAATAACTTGAGGCTGTTGATAAAATCATGAGGGTTGGCAAAGCTGGGACCCCTCTGTTGCCTTCAGAAAATAGCTACTTTTTCTTTAAAATATAGTCTCCTGTGATAATTTTTTTTCCTTGATGTTTTGACTGCAGCAGGGACTTTTGCATTGTTTTTGCAGAATTATCATTTCCCTCCTCTTTTTTTTTCCCTGTTGGTCTGTGTTTCCTTCATGGTGCTGCTTTGATTTTGGCCAAAGGCCCAATACCTCTGAGTAGTATCTCTCAAAAGGTGTTTGTTTTTTCCTCCACTCTGTCAAGCTTCCTCCTTAATCTCTTCTTTAAACTTGTTTTTTGGTCTTTCTCCAAGAACTTACATGTTCGTCTTCCCACTTGCCAGCTCAGCTCTGGAAATACAGTCCAAATGTCATGGCTGCCTCAGATCCTGGTGAAGATCATTGCAACTTCAAGGACTTCCACCTAATTTTCCTTCTTCTCTTCTTTCTTTCTCTCTCTCTTCTTTTCTTGTTTTTCTTTCACTGCAGTAGACAGCACAATGAGCTGGAAATGGGACAAGCTGCCATCTGTGTTTGTAGCTGTGGTGACATACTAATGTTAATTCTTAAGTGTCTTCCAGTATGATTGTCTGATATATATGCTGGGAAGTTCTTCAGTGTTAGCTGCAAGAAGAGCATCAGACTATCAAAAACTTCACATCTTGTGTAGAGAAAGTGGTTTCTAAAATCCATGTTTTCAAAGTTTTATGAGATGGAAACAGACTTTTAAAATATGCTAGCAGTGATGACAGGTGGCTGGTTTAAGTTTTACTCAGAATTTCTTCATTTTTCTGGAGTTCAGTCAGACTTTGGGCAAAAATTTGATGTCAGCCTCTTTGTGATTATAATAGAGTGGGAAGGGTTGGTACGTGGCATCGTGACAGGCAAGTATGTAGGCATGCCAGAAATTGACAACAGGGGCTCTGAACACACAGGTTGGCAAGAGCTGGACATGTTACAAAAGCAGCAGCAGGTGGGAACAGTTTGCAGTGGAGACTCTGGCCTCTTGGCTGACCAACCAAACCGTAACAAATGGCTTTGAATTACTGATATGTTCAGCTGCCATTATGGGGGATGTCATCACAGTACCCAAAGTTTATAGCTGCAAGGAAACTGTACTGCTCCTCCCTCCTCCTCCTCGTCTATAAATGATGCTCCTTGATCTTCCCTAAATCTTTCAGTCATTTCACAAGCAGTGTTGCTCATATGCCATGGTCATTTTGCTCCAGGGAGGAGATCTTTTTGATGCTATTACTTCCACCAACAAATATACAGAGCGGGATGCCAGCGGGATGCTTTACAATCTGGCCAGTGCCATCAAATATCTTCACAGCCTGAACATTGTCCACAGGGATATCAAGCCGGAGAATCTACTGGTAAGTGAAAATTCAGCTTTTGGTATTGTTGATAACTTGGGAGTGTGTGAGAGAAGGTCTGCGCTTCTCTCTGGTTAGTTACTCTCTCTCCACATCCTCCCCCCCGCAAGTTTATCCGAGTCTTTTAAGTCATTGGTCTTTTAGTTTTAACCTTAGCATTGTAAAGCTCTCCTAAGAATAACAGCTATCACAAAAAGTACAGTAACATCAGCTGGTATGTCTAGACTGTTCCCCAGGATACAGTGACAGAGTTGTTCATAAATACAAAGGTGTTCTGTCCTCAATAGACCATTCTGTGCTTCTGCAGCTGCCTCAGTAATTAGTAGCAGTTCAGTTTTACAAACATGGTGGGTATAAATGTTGTGCCCTAATCATGTAGTACGTCAGGGCAGAACCAGGAAGAGACTTCAGAGTCCTTCCTTTCCCTGATGCACCTCCCAAATAATCCCATAGCACCTTTTATTAATACACTTTACTAAAAAGCCTGAATCTTCTTTTTCCTGACTGAATCTGTATGAGCCCTATCCACTGAAGACAATGAAAAACATACCCTGGCAATCAGTCCTTCTTCTGAGAATTTTGCACTCTTGAATGCAGCAGTTGTGTTTTCCAACTGACATAGTTTTATTTCTTCTGAGAAATTAATTTCCCCTGATTATTTCTGTTCTCTGAGTTTTCCCAAATTTGCTGACGTTCCAGTATCAAGATGGTCCAATTGTCCATATATTCTGCAACCATAAAACAATGTTTAAGATACCTAGAATATCAGTTCTCTCAGTTGTGTGCTCTCTGCCATGACTTAGCGCATTTAGTCCTGCCTGACACTTCTTGTGGTTTAACCTCAGCCGGCAGCTAAGCACCACACAGCCGCTCGCTCACTCCCCCACCAGGGGTATGGGGGAGAGAATCAGAAGAGCAAAAGTGAGAAAACTTGTGGGTTGAGATAAAGACAGTTTATCTTTGCTTTGCACACAAGAAAAGCAAAACAGGGCATTCATTCACTACTTCCCATGGGCAGGCAGGTGTTCAGCCATCTCCAGGAAAGCAGGGCTCCATCACGCGTAATGGTTACTTGGGAAGACAAACACCATCACTCCGAATGTCCCCCCCTTCCTTCTTCTTTCCCCAGCTTTATATGCTGAGCATGACGTCATACAGTGTGGGATATCCCTTTGGTCAGTTGGGGTCAGCTGTCCCGGCTGTGTCCCCTCCCAACTTCTTGTGCACCCCCAGCCTACTCGCTGGTGGGGTGGTGTGAGAAGCAGAAAAGGCCTTGACTGTGTGTAAGCACTGCTCAGCAGTAACTAAAACATCCCTCTGTTACCAACACTGTTTCCAGCACAAATCCAAAACATGGCCCCATCCTAGCTACTATGAAGAAAATTAACGCTATCCCAGCTGAAACCAGCAAAACACTGAAGAGTTTTTATGGGAAAGTTGACTCAAGTAGATCTTACTAAACTTCCAGGGAGTGGGATTTTTACAGTTGAGGCTTCTCTAGCGGCAGGTGCCTTTATAGTTCTGGGTGAGGAAGTAGCCTGCCCTCATTTTCCAGAAACTGCTAAAAATACATTTGGTAGAAGTTTCACTAGACACTAACGATTGATACTGCTTTCACAGCCCTTGTGCTGGTGATCATAGGTGGCTGCATGCAGAAGTTATAGCAATCACATGCCAGGATTCCTTAATGCTGTGACTTGGAGTGTGAAGGAGGGTCTTGGTCTGGGGCAAGGCTTGCCCTGCTGCTGTCTTGACATGTCTCTAAATTCCTGAAGTCTGACAACAGTAGAGTTAAGCTTTTGGGGCAAGAGAGAAAGATAGGCAGGGGGGTGGGGGCAAGAGGGAGAGGATTAGATTTGCCTGCCCAGCCGTCTCTGGTAATTACCCACTACCAGGAATGATCACACTGTTTGCATTGCAGCTGAATTGTTTCTGAGTTATTTTTCCGATGTTGTGCACATGTAAAGGTCCTACGTTGATATTGATACTGAGCAGTGAGGATGCAGCACTTAAGCTTTTGCAGCATCCTAACTCTCAAAAGCCAGCATTTGATTCACAAATTATATTAATTCTCTAAGGTTTATCAGGTCCTTGAAAGACACGAACGCTGTTTTAGAAGAGTGCTTTGGAACCAGCCTTACCTGAGTTCTGACCCTGTCTCTGACATTGGCTGTCTGTGGCCTTAGCGTCTCTTGACCTTTCTACTTTTATCTTCTTATCTGTCAAATGGGATGGGTAGTTCCTTGTACCACAAGATTGCAATTAGGGTTGTTTTTGTGGCATTTATAAAACACTTGCAAAATGCCATATGGTCTTAGCCTTTCTGTTGCTAAAGACCTTCTACTTGCCTTCTGTAGCCTGCCTTTTGCTTGCAGCTCTGTAACCCTTCACCTAAGTGGTCATGGCAGTATTTTTCCTTTGTTGTTCTTGTGGTGTTGCTTTCACGCCATTGCTGTCACGGTCTTGCACCTGCAAACCCCGGTAGCATTGTTACAGCGGGTTCTCCTGGCCACCGGTGTAAGAATCTGCCTTTTCCGCCCCGCCCTTTTCCTACCCATGGCTTGTAGCTTTAGGTTTAGGGGAGCCTATAACAGGCCTGCCCAAAGTGAAGTAACTAACCAGGGCGGCAGCATCTGCCCCGATCAATACATGCCGCAAGGCTAACAGCCCCATTAGCAGGAAAAATCAACAGGGAGGATGAGCAAGGCCTGACAAAAGCTATAGAGTTACTACAGGAAAAATATGGGGGGTGAAGGCGAACATGCTCCTCTGCAGAGGGCGTCCAGAGGAGGATGCTCATCTGGAGCCTCCTTGTTGCATCTCTTCCCAGCTCCTGGGAGAGCTTTTCCCTTTCACCTCCCTCTTTCTCTTCTTTGGGTTTTCCTTTTCCCCAAAAGTAACTTTGACCCTTAGAGCTGATGTGTGCCATCAGCTAGACCCTGCTGATAAATCTTTGTGTGTGTGAACCTGTCTCAACATCCTATGTGCAACACCAGTTATTTCTATAAGTGCTTAAATATTCCTTATTATCCTCAAGGCATGCAAAGCCCACCTAACAGTCAACTGTCCAAGAGTTTAGGGTATGCTGAATACCTGTGATTTTTTAGCATTTTTTTTGTTCTCTAGAGAGTGTCTTCCATGTTTTAATTGGAACATTTTTCATAATTGCTGCTATTTAGCACGTTTATTTTGTCAAGTCATGGGATGTCTTTATAGCCATATAATAAACCCTAGAGAACAACTTCTCTGACTGTTGCCATCTGCACTGATCTCAAGAGCAGCTTAGAAAATACTGACAGTCTTTATAGTAATAGGATACATATGGTGGCACACAATTATGTGTGGCTGCATTCAATTAGTGTTGTACAATTACACAGTTTTATTGCTTAGTTAAAAGCACTACATAGTAGGTAATTTGCACTAATCCCCATTTCTTTAATTGCCCTTCAGTATTTAAATGTAGTGGAACATATATAGCGTTTGTTCTGAATAACTTGAGCGTTAAATTATCTTTCACATTCCTTGACTGGCAAGTAACATACCACAGCTTCACATTGGGCTCCTTTTTATATGGAGTTATAACAGGGTAGGGAAAAGTTACTTTCTTCAGTTTTACAAGTCAACTGAAGTAGTTTTCCAAGGAGAGTAATTCCTGGAAACAGATGGGGCAAAATACTAGAAAATGCACAGTACCAAACCTTCTGCATTGGTAAATATTGCCAAACAAGCCTTTTCCATAATTATTTTCCAGGATATATGAGTCATACAGGGTGTGGTCTGTTGAAGGAGGGAATTTATGAATGTTCACTGGTTAACACAACTCAGAGAGGGCTTTGTAAAAGACAACCGCATGAAATAGAATATGAGATACTAATTAGACTGGATTCAGCTCTTGATGTCTAAGTGCACACTTTACATTTTTCAGCAAGTGAATATTTAAAGCTCTAGTCTCTAGCCTTTAATTAAAACTGTTGTTGAAATTAGATTTATTACTGCCATTTCAGAGAGCACTTTCTTTAGTTTCAGGAACCAGATGTATTTAACAATCTGTGTTTTTAATAAAATCATAATTGCTTTTTTTCCAATGAGTTTCTATAAGCCTATCTTTTTTTCTGGCTTAGTAGCAAAGAAATGTGAATCCATATCAAATTGCTGGTCCTCTTAAAGATCCAGTTGTATTATTAAAAATAATATAAGGAAAGGAGAATAATTTTGTGTATTCTGAATGTCTGCTTGTGGCTGTATCACCTGGTAGCAGGGATTCAGGACACAAAGGGGTTTTCTCTCTAGACATGACTAACATTAACAAAGGAGAAACTTGGGGGGGGCTGTATAATATAACTAATTATTATGAGCTATAGCAGATAGGTAGCAAACAGTGGCAAGAGACTTCAAGATTTCATTTGTGCACCAAGTGAACTGTTCAAGGGTCCATTGTAGAATTTATTGCATTTTTGTAAGAAAAAGATCTAGGATTTTCCTCTGCAAACAGTTGTAGGTAAATGTGATTTGTGATGCAGGAGTAGCTGGTCAAGGTGGGTATTAAGGATGATTTTGGTTTTGATTGTGAAGTATGATATCTTCTATTTTTGCACAGTGTTACTGCTAATTGTTGTCAGGATATCACTGTTGGTGAGCCAGGCTGCATGGGGCTTTGATTTGGGTTGCAAAATAATAATGTGATGCATATATACTTTAAGAAGACCTCCTGTAGGCTGTTTCCATTTTTTAAGGTGCTATTATGGTAAACAGCATTAAACTGCATCATAAACAATTTCAAAATAGGAAGAAAGAACGCAAACCAGCAGCTGGATTAAAGAAAGACTCACAGTCTAGTGTTTAATTTATTCTTTTTATTTTAAGCATTTTTTGTACGTTTTCAGTGTTTGCAGGTTTGGAGTTGTTCTTTCGCATTAAGCCAGCTTTTAAAATTGTGTATTTTTAACTGATGTTTCTAGCTTTTTTCTTCTGACTATATTTTAATCTCCCTTTGCACTCGTAAAAAACCATGAAAGATCGTGTTGCTGCTGTGAAGACCATGTTTTAAGACAGGATTTTCATGTATACTCATTAACAGCCCTACCTATGTCTGTTGATGATGATGGTAACATACCATTAAGACACTGATTGGTGTTTAACAGTCATCCAGGGAGAGGACAGTGTTTCTAGGTGAAATAGTCCAGCCAGGTTTGCATCTTGTGACTTCAATACACAGAGAAGAATCTGTTGTTGCTATCAGTGTAGTCACTGTTTTATTATCTAAGAAGTTGAAATTCCTGTGCAAGCCTTTAAGCTCCATGCAAGTAAAATGGATAAACTCAAAAACCCTACACTGTGAATTGGCTGTCAGTGGGGAGTTAACCTAGGAACGTTACTGCTGGAAGGTCAGACCTTTGCTTCTGGGCTTTAGCTTCTACCAAGTAGTATGTCCTTTGCTGGCCAGGTAGCGAGGTAAGTCTTTCCCAAACATCCTGAGTGCATTCAAGGGAAGTTGTCCAAATTGTCTGCCAATTTTCAAAGCAAGCAGAGAAGTATGTGGTAGGTAAGGAGGAGAAAAAAGACTGTAAATTAGAAGCAACATTTCAGGCAGTTAGTAAATGATATAGTAGTTACCTTGATGGTACTGTGTTAAGAGAATTTTCCTCTTGATTTAGGTTTATGAACACCAGGATGGAAGCAAGTCCCTGAAGCTAGGAGACTTTGGCCTAGCAACAATTGTGGATGGACCTCTATATACTGTTTGTGGGACCCCAACATATGTAGCTCCAGAAATCATCGCTGAAACTGGGTAAATCACTTCTAGTGGCTATTCATTGATGTGTACACAGTGGAGCATGTTCTCACCAATATGCCAGATAGGAGTTCTTGCAATTAAGATTTTTATGCTGCCTTTGCTTGGGTATCATGCCGATTCATGGCTCGTAGAACACTTTAGATGGAAGGGACCTCTGGAGGCTATCTTGTCCAAACCAGCTCAGAGCAGGGCCAACTTTGGAGTTATAGTAGGTTCCTCTGTCAGTTGTTGGCCTCTAACTTCTCAGCTTAACACTGAGTTACTAACTAGCCATTTGCAGATACAATACAAGTAATTCTTAAGCAGTCCCCAGAGACTGCTACCTACCAGTCACTTAATTTTATTTTGTTATCATGCACTGTCCTCTTCTGATTTGTTCCACAGAGTAAATGCCTGCTGGCTTGAGCAGCCTGTTTCACCTTTGCAGGCTTCAAGTTGGTAGGTGTCACTGTCTAACTCAAGAATACAGCACAACATCTTCTGTCCACTCCTACATTCTGATCTGATGTGGTTTTAAGATGTAAATGTAAAAAAGGTTTGAAAGCGGAATTAGGATAGGTAGATAGGACATAGAGAAAATTCAGATGAGAATATATAAGAAATTATTAATAATTCTGAAGATGTTTCCTCTGTTCTTGTACTGTAGTTCATAGGAGTCGGATGTCTAACAGTGTCTCTCACACTTCTAGATATGGCTTGAAGGTGGACATCTGGGCAGCGGGTGTGATTACTTACATCCTGCTCTGTGGTTTCCCTCCGTTCCGTGGGTATGAACTGATCTATTCAACCATCCTTGTTCTGTGAATTGGTCCCTGTGCTGCTTTTGCATTAAGCACAGAGATTCCCACTGGAAAAAGTTCTCTAAGGGTTTGTTTTTCCCGTGCTCTGCATAGTAATTTACACAAACCCCATAAATGTCTGTGATTTTACTGTAAAATCTCTGTCTCATGTTTGTTTATTTTAGTTTAAACTTCATTGCTTTACAAAACAAGAGCCTCCATTACGGGTTTTGGGTGCCTTTGCCTGATGTTTAAAATACACAGTGAAATAAGCATCTTCTTTCATGGACCAAATACAACATATTTTGTGGTCAGTAAAAGGTAATTAAAATGTAAGCCACTTAATAAGGACATGTCAGATCTTTTCTCCCCCTCAAAGCAATTGCAAAGTTGTTGACAATCGTAAAGAGAAGCAGGTTACCTCAGAGAGAATGTACCAAATGCACTTTGTTTTATGATCTCACCATTCACACCCATGGTTGCATGCTTGGGGGGAATTGACAGCTTCCTAAAGCATACTAAGGGATCGCCAATTCAAAGCAATTTCAAGAAGGCTATTGAAACCAGCTCTAGAAATAATTTCTTTGTGGGATTTGTTGTTGTTTTTGTTTTTGTTTGTTTCTGTTCCTCCAGAAGTGGAGATGACCAAGAAGTGCTTTTTGATCAGATTTTGATGGGACAGGTGGATTTTCCATCTCCGTATTGGGACAACGTTTCTGACTCTGCAAAGGTAGGTTTATATAGTTGATGATGCTCTCTTCTCCGATATGATTCCCAGTGCCAGTATCTAATGAATGGTGTTCTTTCACAGTGCTGTATTTGACGTTTCATACATCTCCTGCTACACCTATAAATTCCTCTGGGTCACCGAGTATGTTGTCGTTTTATCACTGCCTGTCTGTTAGACTCCAGGTGGTTCTCTATATGATGTCTCACACAAGAGAGGCACCAGCAGCCCTTACTGATCAAGAAAAATTTTAAGTAACTTTGCTTGACCTACACTTCTTAGCTTGAAAGCTCCCCAGGACTGTGCTTTGTATGTACTTATGATGGGGACCAGGTACCAACCTGGAGCCTTTGAATATTATATAATAATATTATAAGGAGGCTGTTTTCCCCTCATTAATCCCATTAGATGATATGTCTGTTGTTTCTTTCTGTCAAAGAACCAAGCCTCGCATTGCCTGTGACTCCGTATTGTTGTCGGTGTCGTACGAAATACAGACTTCTTCCGTCCACCAGTTCATGGGCTGTAGCCTCTTGGCACACGACATGAGAGGTAGAGCTTGAGGTGTGCTAAGGCAGATACAATACTTTTTAGATACAGATCCTGACAGAGTTCATTATACTTGCAGATCAGATGAAGGTTTTTAACTCTCATTAGTGCACTGGAGCAACAGCTTAACTCACAGACTTTCTAGGGATCTGGCATTTACTATAGTCATGTGTATAAATATAAATAGAGAAAGAGATAATACACGTATATGTTAAAAAAAAAAAGCCAAAACCATAAAACTATTCATATGGTCATCCTGTAGATAAGTGCTTAATTTCTGACAGTTTACTTCTGTAGCCTGTAAGGCAAATCCAGGCAAAACTGTCTTCCTATGTCTTTCAGTGTGACAATGTTTAATTATTCAAAAAAAAAAAAAGAAATTTGGAGGTGGATGCATGTAATGAAAGTAGCGTTCTACGTTCTGAATCTCCATTCTTCAGAGAGTTACATCCTGCTTTTACAGATATGAGGAGGGTGATCAGTACCAGCATTTTAGCCTGTTAACCATTGAGGTTAATGAACAAGACACAGTCATGGAGTTGGAAGAAGTCCTCTAAACCACATCATTGTGTTGTAGCAGGCTTTATTTTGTAGCATTATTAATGAGAACTCTGCAGGTCCTTTGCCAATGGTGTTTTCCTGTGAAACTCCTTCTTCCAAATAGTTCAGCCTAAAATTTCTGTTTTGAAGCGTTAGCCCATTCATTTAACTTCTCCCTGTCACTAATAATTATTAACTTTGGTCTTCGGTGATACCCCTTTATTTGCTGTCATACTGCCATCCTGTTTTCTGTGCACTCCACTCACTGGTGGAATTAGATATATGTTTATTTATATGCTAGTTGAAAACGAGGTAATTGCAGAGGAAATCAGAGGATGAAAAATAATGTTTTTAAGTGGTTTTTTTTAATATCTTCTATGTCATTTATACAAGAGCTTAAAGTAAAACTCTAGATTTGCTGGCTTTTTTCCTACAGAGGAATTGGCTTTTTTTTAATGGGAAGCTAACCTAATTTCATGCGACCATCTGTTTTGTACATTATGTATTAAGTGCTTTTCTCTTAAACAGTGGCTACAGAATTGTAACTCAAAACTGTCTTCTAGCTTTTCAAGATACTGTTAGATACTGATTTAAAAGTTCAGCAGTTCATAGTTGTTCTTTTTTTTAATAATCTTAATATATTTCTGCAGTTGGTAGTTCACTCTCTCTTTGAGCACTCTTACATAATCAGTTGAAGAGCACTTTAGTGAATTAAATGTTGATTTGTTCTTTAAAAATGTTCTTTAAATTTGACCCAGTATTCCATTTCTCAGGAACTTATCACAATGATGCTTCAAGTAGATGTAGATCTGCGATTCTCAGCCTTGCAAGTTCTTGAGCATCCATGGGTTAATGTAAGTATTTTCAGGCTTGTAGATGCTCCTTGTAATTTGGCACCTTTGAGCTCATTTCTGTCAAGTCCTTTCTATGCCCTTTTGGAGCCAGCACATTCTAAAAATGCCACAGATTTAACTGGAAATCAGCTGGGTTACAGGCTGGTTTAGTATATCGCATACCTTGGAGTATTCGCTATTTTATGCATGCTCAGCTACATTTTCTCTGAAATATTTTGGGCCAGGTTTTCAACACATCTCAACACCACTTGACAAATTTATACCTCTAACAATCAGCTTGCGGGTTCAGTGACACATTTTGCTCTCCTAAAATCAGATGCATTCAAAAATCTGACAGTCGTAATTAAGAGCTATTGAAATATAGTCCATAGTGTTAAGCCTACTTGATCCAGCATGAAACAGGGAAACCTTTAGAATCATATTTAGCTTCTGATGTTGAAATACACATATATTTATGTGCAGCCATATCCTTTAATCTGAGTTACCATGAAATAGCTATTTAGGTATCCTGGCTTATCTCTAAGTGACCGGACATGTGCCATAAAAGTGGTAATCAGTGAGGTGGCATACAGATAAATGTGGCAGAGAATAAAGAGATTTCTCTTTAATTAATGTTGAGACAAGGACACTACTTAATATTTGTTAATTATGTCAGACTATTTAATATGTCTTAAAATATTTGGATGACAAGAAGGAAAAACTGGAGAAAATCCAGATTCAAATTCAGAAGGGAAGACTGAGAAAAGAAATACAATTGGGACGAGCAGAGAAGGAAAATAAAGGAGGAAGAAATAATATTTCGTTTTGTTTGTTGCAAGTTTGAGTCTGCAGTCCTCCCTGGAATACTATTTGGTCCCTCACCTACTGTATCCAAAACCTTTTTCTCACTAAAACGCTATTCTAAAAATTCAAATATACAGTAGCCTCAAATGTTAATCTTTTTTTATGAAAGTATCCTCCATATAGCCCAGAATAGTGGTGATTAGTTAGTTAGGTGTTTACCAAGTATATGCTTTAGTCTTGGAGGCTCCCTTATTGCCCAAACCATATTTTTTTTTAATTGTAAATGCTTTTATCATGCAGAGCACTTCTGCAGTGTATGAAGAGTGCAAGGATCCGGGACAATGTCTGATGAAAATCTTTTCATTTTTAAGATGACATTCAAGCAGCTGAAATATTAATTTTCCTTGGTGCCAGGTGCTGTCCTTGGACATAGTGTTCTGTCACAGTTTATAATGACTTTTGGTGACTGAGGTGTCTCTCTGTCTCCACGGGAGGAGAACGGGTGGGGATTTCTGGAGTGCTGCTGAGGAAGAGATGGAAGTGACTGATCAGAAGCCACAGAGAGGCCAGCTCACCCGCAGTGTCAGTCTGCACACTGCTGCTGAGGTTACTGAAAAATCACTTGTTTGCACCACGTAAGGATGTGGTCACTAATCTTCTTCTTTTTCTGAAAAATACATTGGAACTGTTAATGCTCCCCCCGGACACTTTTTTTTTCTTTTGGCTTCAATTACACCACGATGTATTTTAGGAAGCCATTTTAGCGAGATGTGTTGAGAAGAAGAGGTGCAGCTCTTTGTCAGTAGCATGATGGTGGTGGTGTGCAGGTGACATGAGGGTCTGCTCCCTGCCCTCGCTAGTGCCTGCTGATGGGGAGGGATGGGGAAAAGGGCCGGGGCCTAAAGTCTTTTAACACTCCAGAGCGCCAGTAACCAAAACCTGAGCTCTGGTTACTGAAGCACCCTGGCAAATTCCTGGGTTTCTGTGCAATAAGTTAAAACGCAGAGCCCTTTGCCAGAGGATGCTGTAGATGCCAAGTATAAATGGATTCAAAAGGGAGTTTGATACATTTTTGGAGGATGAGCCCCTTGGTGCCTATTAAATATGGTGGTCTGGATACAACTCTTGGCTCACAAAGATCTTAAGTACTTGGTTCGCAGAAACTGGAGGATATACCAGGGAAAGTTCAAGATCTACTTGTCTTCCTTGAATGTACTATTTCATAAACAGTGACTACGATGCATTGTTGGAAACAGGACACTATGTTCAATTCACCTTTGGTCTAGCTCTGCTGCACTTCTTGTAGTTTTATGCTGATTATAACTCTTCGCAATCAAAACCTGTAGCAGTTCTCTCCATAAATAAGTGAAACAAATATTCCATGACAGTTCTGTAATTTCTTCTTTTCTGTCCAGTCGCTACTTTTAGCAACTGAGACAAATCAGTATTTTGTCTTCAGCAATATGCTAATAGTAGTTCATAACGCAGATGAAAACCTCTTTTGAATTCTCTCATGTATCCTCCAGATATTTTTTCTGGAAGGAGAAAGGCCAGCACTGGGACCAGTTCAGGAAAGTGCTTGATTGAGCACATTCCAAATGTCACTCCTATTTCAAGGCATCACACATGGAAACACTTAATATTAGGCATAAAATTAACTAGATGGCACTAAAATCCTAGTTCACTTCAGGAGAAATAAGAACATGGCTGAGTTGAAATAGGTGCTTAAATGCTTTCATGAAAAAGGACACTTGCCTGAAGTGGGTCTGAGCAGTATGCAGCAGATAGCCTAGCAGGGACAGCCTGCTGGTGTACGGAGGCAGAATGATACGCTGGTGTCAGACCCGACCTCACATCCCCATACCATCACCAGCTTGACCAGCTGGGAGTCTGTCACACAACCTCCCTGTACCTCATTTTCCCAGCTTCAGGACAGGGAATTAATATACTCGTCCCTGTTTATAAAAGGCTCTGCAATCTATGTGTCATAATTACCTGAGCAATTATCTGCAACTTTCGTAAAATACTGTCTTTCTGAGAAGAAATGGCACAAGGAATTTTCACCTAACACTCCATTTTCCCAGATAACCTGTTCAAAAACTTTTCCGTGGCATCAAATGCTGGACTTTACTTTCCCTTTTCTTATTTCAGTTTTGAACCTATTCATAGAGTGGTAAACTTGCAGCTAAAATGCTGGATAGGACAGCTGGCTTGAAAAGCAGGCATGTGTTTTCTTTGACAATCTTAAGAAACATTTTCTCTCTTTGATCAAACCTTTGATAGAAGTGTTGTAACTGCTTACACTGTATAAAACCATTTTGTAGATTGTAAATAACTATTCCACTTTATAGCTGCTTACTATGTGATTACTTGGTAAATTGCTGAGATTCCTGGAATGTGCTTTGACAGTTTCAATAGGAGCCAACCCTCATTTCAGTTTCAGTTTTTGCTATAAAAATAGCTGGAATCCTCTTGGAAACTGCAGAGCTTGTTATGGTCAGAGTCAGACCAGTAAAGCAGTTCCTATGTCAATAATATCCCAGCTGTTTTCAATTCAAAAAAAACAAAACCTGAAAAGATGTTGGCTGTGTGCCACTGCCACAGATGGAGATCTTGAATTCTAAATGCAGTTCAGCAGCAGTTCCTTGCCCCCTCCATTTAGTTTATTTGGATTTGTCTCTCCTCTGCAGTACACTTAGACCTGGAAACAAATCCATCAGTTTATACTTCCCCTACAGGGACCCCAGCTCTTTCCTTTACCTGCTCAAATTCTTTGCAAAACCAAAGAATTATAAAAGAGGCTGGAAGCTTGAGGTCTGGCATTTTAAACATTGCTGATATTGATAACCTGAATTATACTATACAAGTTACAGGACAAACCTACTCTCTTCTTGTTGTATAAGTAGTAAATATTTCCTAATACAGCATTGAGCAGTGAATGCTGAAGGGGATGGATTGCATTCTGTAAATCCTTCGCTGTTAAAATCATCAATATAAAATGCGGTGTGTTGTTGCTGGAGGAGGAAGATGGCACACACCAGCCTAAAAAGAATTAGGGAAACTGGAGCTTTTACATATTTCCTTAACCATGTCTGCCTTGAAAATTTGTGTGCAAAAGACATTAATAACCAAGCAGTAAATACTAATAAGCTGAACATTTGTAAGGAAGTTAATTTAAAATGACATTTCTTATTTGGCAGCTGCACTACTTTTGGTTACACCCTAAGACACTGCCCAAAGAAAAATCTCCCTGTAATTCTTAAAGGAAACAGAGTCCAAAAGCTTTTCCAGCACTTCTATTTGCTCTAATTTTCTGCTGTTATTTATATAATGACCTATTCATCTGATGCTTTTAGACCTGGAAAGTAAAGTTCTTGTGACCGGCTTATGAAATGGATCCGAGTGCTTCAGGGCAGCAGGAGTCTGGGAATCCTGAACTTTGTTCGATCTTTTTAATACTTCTTTTTTCTTTGAGTGGCAATGTGTCCTGCCATAGAGAACAATGCAAACATGAAAACAGTGTTTATTAATTACTCAAATGATGCCAAACCCCTCTGCCTCTTTTTTTTAAATTTTATTTTGATTTCTTGCAAATAGACCATGAAAGGTATTTTGTGGAGGCTGATAAAAAAAACCATATATCTTAAGATCCCAAGCAGTTTACATTGTCCAGGTGAAAACTCAAATTCTGGACCAGAGTTTTCAAACCGTCAAAGAATTTTGACTGCTCAACTTCTGAGACGTGCTCAGGAGAGTGCTTCTTCCAAAGCATCAGCAGTCAACGTTTTCTGAAGCTCATGACCCTTTAAAGTTCCCAGACCTGAGCACCAAAAATAACTAGTCATCTTTAAAAGATCTTGTCCTGACTGCTAAAGCTGAGATGAAATTCTGTGATCCTAACCTGCTGCAAGAAGTAGTTCCTATAGCAAAAGGTTAAAATAAGGGAAAGGAACAGTTAACCTCTTTGGGGGCTGACATCCCTCCCATTACAGCAACCTGATGAAATTCTTGTCAGCAATATTTAGCCTGTTCTCCAATTCTGCAACTTACCCTGCTGATTCTGGTGAATCTGATTTTTTTTTTCACTTCCTGCCTTTTTAAACTGCAGAGCAGCTTGTTTTGTATGTAGTTAAACAGCTGTCATCTCTCACCCTCAATATCTATTTTATTGTTGGCTGAAGTGATTCCAGGAGCCAGCTAATATATATTAGCTTGTTTATAAATCACGTTGGAATAAAAAAAAAGATAACTACTAAACATCAGGTAGCACCAACAGTAGTAAGAAAATTTAATAACAATAGAGTAATTCCCATATATCCCTATGCTGCATCTTAAATTGAGCTGGAAGATATTTCATCTACAAGCCGGAGCCCAAACTACGTGTCTCTGGCGCATTGCCACTGGAACTGTGGGTATGGTGCTTCACCAATAAAATACTACCACAATCTTGGTAACTATTGTCTTCTTCGTAATTTAGTCTTTTCACAAGATGACATGAACGTTTGGCAGGCTTTCATGTAAAGAAAGCCAGGAGAATGATTCCCCCCCCCCCAGTGAAGAAGAGTTTGCTTCACAGACTAGCTTTCTTCTGGGAAAGGCAAGGTCAGCGGAAAGCAGGTTATTTTTAGGGATCATATACCACCGAGCCAAGACTCCCCGGTGCTAGACAATAATCAGCTACTGGGTTGTATTGTTTTGTTTTGTGTTTTGCAGCTGTGTGCACTTGACCGTATTTTGCCAGCTGAGACGTTTTGTTAAGGGGTGAGTGAGGGATCTCTAAACACAAACTCCCCAAGCTAAATAAATAACAAACCCTAACCAACCTCCCTAAAATTCCCATATGCTCACTGAACTCATGATTCACTGTAGCAGCTCTGTAACTCTTTAAGTGCACTCAGAATTACTGCAAAGCCAGAAAAAAAAGTGTCCTCTCATCTCTCTGTATTCTGATCTTGTCTCTTGTTTGCCTGTATTCTGCTAAGACTTCGCTTAACTGGATTTTTAAGAATTTTTTCAACAGTTGATAGCTACACATACCATGCAGTGCCAGCTTGGGATGACCATTGCAGATGGCCAGTGACCTGATATCCTGCATATTCTGCCTATTCTGCATTTTGTTGCCTATTCCACCTATTCTGCATGTTGTTGCCTGAAATCCTGCATATTCAGCTAGCGGGGAAGTGTCACCGAGCGGTGGCTTTTTGCACTTTTTTCAGGCAGAAGGATCTTATTTGCAATTTCTAAATAATTCCTTTTTTCTCTTGGGCTTGAATTCTACCCTCTGACTTGCACAAAACTGCAAACTCCCTTCTTTCTGCTAGGGTTTCTCTTCAGCGTCGAGGATGCCTGCGTGCCTAGGTGTAGATAGACAGGTTTGCTCTGCGAAGTGGAGTGTCTCAGCCGGAGGAGGCACCTCCCAGCCCAGCTGCACGGCTTCTGGGCTGGAGCTCACGCACAGCCGGCTCACTTGGTGCATGCGGCAGCAGAACATGTGTCTGCCTCTGCTTGGCCATGTAGTTGTGTGCCTGCTTTTACCTCAGGTTAGCTCAAGTTGAGAACATGTGTCTTTGAGCAAGGAAGAAGAGGCCACCCACAGCTGGCTCCAGCCCTTCTCTGCTTTCCCAGACAGTCTGTACCTCTGTCTGTCCTTTCCCCACAGCATCACAGGCTTGTGTGCCTTGAGACCGGGGGAAGGAATTGCAGTCCCTTGTTATCAGTCAGTCGGAGATTCGATTTGCAGAGGTGGCTTTGTTTAACTATGGTTTTAGTACGGTACGGTCATAGTCTGTGGGGAAAGCCACAGCAAGCCGTAAGCCCACGCCTGACCTGGCCTGCAGACGTATACAATGATACGTCCTGGCGTTGACCCTCACCCGCCCTTGAGGGTCTCAGCCGGGGCATGTCTCAGCTCCCATCTTGCCTGGGTTTCATTGATGTGGGACTCACTGAGCTGTGGCTGGAACATTCACCCAACCCCGTAGTCCCCGAGTTTGTAACCTTTACAACGAGACGGGGACCTTATTGGTGTCTCACAGGGCTTTTGGAGATCCTTTCCTGTGTCCTACCAAAATGGGGCTTCTGGTATCTATAATCTCTTGGGCTCTTTCTACTTTTGAGGTCACTATCTTTAAATTTATGTGATGAGTAAACAGAACCATAGACAGGTCTGAGCTTATCAAGCTTAGAAATATTAATGGACCTAAAAATAACTGGGCAGTGGTAGTTAAGACATGGTAGAAGAATAATAAAATATTTTACAATTTTTATTAACTAACATTACCTAAAGTTTGAAAGGAAGATATTAGGTAAAGAAGAAGAGAGAGGCTGGGTCATGACATAATATGATATTAATCTTACAAATACCTTAGATATATTAATGGAGACAATGACTGATCTGTATTTCATTACAAACTTTCTTGTAAACTTTTCTGTATTGACAGGTGCTATCAGAATCACCTTGCAATTCCTTTATTTCACCTTTTCTCTCTGAAGTTTTATTTGGCTTTATTCCTCTGCAGGATGATGGCCTTCCAGAGAATGAACATCAGCTCTCAGTAGCTGGGAAGATAAAGAAGCATTTCAACACAGGCCCTAAACCGAACAGCACAGCAGCTGGAGTTTCTGTCATAGCAGTAAGCATCTGAAATACACAGCTGAAACACTTAAATATGTGCCCACAAGACAGTGTGTGTTTAGGACATGCCACCAAAAGAAACTGGAGAGGGTTAATCTTTAGATAATTTGAGCGTTTAATTAATATAAACGTAGGTAGACTGGTATTCTGCACAATTTCTCCATTGATTCTCCTTGTGAGTCACATTGTTATTTAACAGCCCTGGGAGATCTAACAGTACCCACACTTCTACATTTTACCAGAAGATCTGTGGACCTAGCTCCAATGTAGATTGAACAATTCGAACTATGGGACCATGGCATTTTACTTGGCAGCAGAATCATCACATGGATTGGGGCCACACAGAGGTTGTAGCAGAAGGACAGCAGCACTTCACAATGAGTGGAAATTACTTCAAAATTGTAACAGAAAATCTGTGTGGCAGCCTAAGCTTCGCTTCTCTGAAGACATCAGGGAGAGCTATGATGCCTCACTACTACCTTCATAGTTGATACATGTCTAGCCACTTCAAATTTAGCTGAGCAGCAGCATTTTATCGTACTGCCACATGCAAGCTGCTTCCCTTTAGGCAGAAGGACTTAATTGGGTAAAGACTTAATGGAGCTCCTTGCTGTCTTCTGTCATGTTGCAATTCCAGTCTAGGCATTCCAGGTTAGAACATGTCGGAGCTTCTGAAACCCAGTTTGACCAAACTTTTGACCAAGCTTTACTGAGGTTTCAATGGCATCCTCAGTGTAGCATACATCTCATACCTTTGTATTTTTTCCCGAAAGATGAACATGTGTATTAGATATACATGCGCACAGAATATATTCAGTGTTTTATGAGATTATTCATACTAATGCCATTGAATAGCAACATGCACATCCTTTACATTTTTGATACATCTGCCTGTGTTTGTAAGCTTTTCTTTATTACTCATGGTAATGTTAACGCTCCAAATAGTCACTAAAAATAAGTGACACGTTGAACATAACCATTCCCATATCAGATTACTCAGTGTTCATTCCCAGCTTCCATAAATTGCAGGTGGTGTGACTGCACATGTACACTTTCTTGTACTGTTTCCACTTTCATGTTTCTCAGCTCAGCCCCTCCAGTGGTGAGTTAAATCAGCGTGAATTAAACTCAGCTCAGCACATGCAATCTGGCTCACAGGTGTGAACTGTTTGTGCAGCAAAATGGATACTCTCTCAAGTTACTTGGTATAAGTACTTAAAATTTCAAGCTGTGCCTCTCTCATATTTTTTCTTTACTCTTTCCAATCCTGAACGTCCTCAACATGGAAGCAAGTTGTTCCTCATGCTTTTCCTAGATTTTCTCGGTCATCAGCTAACATAGTCAGCATTTATTTATTTTCATTTTTAAGCAAAAATACTGCAACAACTCTCCCACAACTAAAACATCACATACCCATTGCTCATCTGAAATGCAGGTATGTTCTGTATAGACTAGCTGAAACCGTGTTCCTTTCGAATGGACTGCCAGCACGCTTGTCCATGAGAATTACTGCTCAGATCCTCCATGCTAATGACTTCAAAGCTTAAAAGCGAGAAATGATGCCTCTGTCCTCATCCATCCCTTGCCTCCTTTATGTTTTAATTTCCCCACCCACCTCTTTTTTTCCTTTGCCCCAGTTGCTCTGCCAAGGAATTGTTTACAGCGGTTTACACTTGAGTAGTGAAAAAGACACTGTAGTGATTCTTTCCACTGCAAAACATTATACATCAGAAAAAAAAAAAGTATATGTTTAATTATATTCTTAATGGCTTTTACTTATTTTTTAGTGTTTGGAAATTTAACAGATTATTTTTAGTGATCATCTCTATGGGTGAACATCATACTCTGGCATGATTAATCCTGCAATTTGACCTATAAAGTAGAAATGTTTAGAATATTTTTACAGAATTCAGAAAGTGGTTTGATTAGCTTGTGTCAATTATTTTCTAAAAACTTGGAAGAAGATGGGGAAGTATAGACCTCTTTAGTGTTTTGGTAATGTTCCAGAAAGCTAGATAATTTTGATTTTAAGAATAAATTACCTTTATTTTCTACAAAACTAATTTAATAAGTAAAATAAAGCCGAAAGCAAAACAACAAAGCCTTTAATTGTTGTTTCTGCATTTGAAAGCATACTTAATATATATTTGACATGCATGTCATCAGGGTTTTACATTTGGGAATCTTCCTTTAACTGTGCAATCTCAAATATCATAGAAATAAATCTTAATAATGTAGCCTGCTCTACATTTAGAATTTTCAAAGTACATACAGATGCTTTAACATATTGTTCAGCACTAAAGATGTGCACTAAGTATATTTTCTACAAAAATACTGTTTTATTGTGCCTGCCTGTATGTTTACTGTAACTTTTTGAGAGAGTGCTTGTGTATATAATATATAGAGATGCCTTCTATATATTATGTAACACATCTCTGTCTGTGTGTGTTTGTGAAAATGTGTTAATATGTACATATATAGCTTACTTAATAGTATAAAAGGTAAATATTAGCATTACTTTGAGTTTTATAACTCTGTTTATGTACAGAGATAGCTAATCTGTGGCATTTAGTTCTCAATTTGCCCTCACACTGGTATAATATTATATGCCTGTTTTATTTGGTGGTAAGAAGTAACACACCTCAAAGATCTCAAGCAGTATTTATCGTATGCACCAATTAAAACTATAATACGAAAGCTAAGTTCCTAAAGATGTGTTTGTGGTCAGCTTGACTGGGAGGAGGTTTGAAGCCACGTGCATTTTGCATACGTCTACTGTGGCTACTGCTTCCTTCAGCGATGTCCAAACACATTGTATTGACTCCTTTGGTTCAGACTTACATCTGCTCTGTTGATGTGGTAATCCTCAGTAAAAGTTGTCTCTGACCATTCAGGGCAGAGACATCCTACAAGTTGTCGTGCGTGTGTCCAGACTTCAAGTTTGTCTGCATTTGAAAGGATTTGTCAGTTTGGACAAACTACCATAATGAACGTGTTGTGCATGCCTAGCAAAGTAGTTCCTTTGCTGATGTAGCAGAAGATGATTCCTCAAACAAAATTAACTACACAGGCAAAGAGACTTTTCTGTTGATACATTAATATATCATTAGAAGTTCTGCCAGCATAACTATGTCAGTTGGGAAAAAATTCCCTTAAACCAACATAGCTTTGCCAGCAAAATTTTAATTGGAGAGCTAGCTTTTAAAACAGCAAGAGAATTAACAAGTCCCTAAAAAACACTGCTTGCTGATGGGAGAGTATGTAGGAGAAAGATCACTTTACTTGCCCTGTTCTTAAACTCTTGTCATAGGCATTGACTACGGGTCTCTGTAGGAGACCGGGGCTGGGCTAGTGCCCCTCCAGTCTGTGTCAGAATGGCCGCATTACTGTTAAGCATGTTCCAAAATATTTGCAGGATCAGGTTTCTCATACAGCTTTCCAATAGGAATAGTATTTTTTTACTTCCTTGATGGTGTTTATAAAAGATACTGCAGTAAAAACATAAAACCAGACTTTTACTAAATAGTCTTTTTAAAATTTGGGGATAAATTTTTTCCTTCAATTCTCCAAGGATGTCATCCCATTGGGGGGTTTTTGGCCACAAAACAATACCCTGTAGCTGTACCCTCTGGGCTTTAGTGACAGTGGCTAAAGTGGCCAAGAGCCAAAATCATTTTTTAAGAACGCTTCTACGATCCAGAGGTGTGCTGTAATTATGTATATGAACTGAGCATCGTTTAATTTGTGTTCTTGTCCGAAGTGTTAAAGCTTTGCCTGTATGTTGTCACTTTTGTGCTTGTATTTTTGCCATTGTTAAGAGAGAGGAAAAGACTAATGATAATGTTCTGTTAAGGTTGTATGAGGTCCCTGTCTTGGCAATGGGAGTGAACGCCAGCTGGAGACTCTCAGGAATTGAATAGGAGAGCAAAAGAGAAAAGCTGCTCAGAAAGTTGGTGTCGCTCTCTGGCTCTTGCAGAGTTCTCGCTGGGCTGGGGACACCGGCACGGGGCCGCTGCCTGCGGTCCGGCAAGGGGAAGGCAGCGGACGGGTCGTTGCCCTGCGTTCTGCCAATTTTAAAATAAAATTACAAATTCCAAGTGGCATTTTTAGCAGTGGGATTTCTTGGGTAGTATGGAAGAGAAGCCCAGTTTAGTCTGTGAGTTTTGCTCAGCTTAAAGGTGAACCTGTGCCTCAGATGTCACTTCCCATCTATTGTCTGTGTTGTCCTGGGATCATTGTCCGCAGTCTGGTTTCTCATGGCAGGATTTCCACACCGACAAAATTGTTTCAACTCTTGTTAGGAAGCAACTCTCCCGATTTTCTCTATATTGCTTTTTAGCTATTCGATTTTAGGGCAATATTTTTGATCTGCTTTTTAAGAAAACATCCCTTTTGTGTATTTTATATGCAGCATACAAGGAAGCCAGTAGATGGCAATAGTAGACCAGTGTAGTTAAGCCAAACAGAAAATCAACTCTAGGTACAAGGTTCTCATGGTTTTAAAACAGGAAACATCCTTTAAATAATTCTAAATAAGATGAAAGAGGCATTGTTTTAACAAAATGGAATAAATTATTAAATTCTACACTTGCAGGGGAGTCATCAAGAAAAATTTAAATTTGCAGTTAGCTCCTAGCTACCCTTGAAGTGGTTGGTAACTAGAAATGTGTTGAACTGCTTTTCTGAATTTACAATTAGAAACTGTCATCAGTATTAGAAATATATGCCACGCTCTTATTGAAGCACAAAATGGCCTTTTCTCTTCATAGGGCAAAATGTGAAAATCATCACAACTAGCAATTTTAAAGTGGGCAGAGTGTCTCCCTCAAGATATTTTCCCCTAAAATTTTATTTAACTCAGCTAAATGATGTCTCCACCGTCTGTTAGTGCAGCACATAAAACAACACATTTTCTTTGTTCCTATGCACATGATTCTGCTAATGAAAAACTAAACCTAAAAGATCTGTATTCCTTAAGTAATATCACGAGCACACTTTCCTGGACACAATGTTAAGTTCATTTCCATTTTGACTTTAATTGGTGCAATTTTAAACCGAATGGTTTTGTACTGTTATCTTTTTGAGCATGAGGTGTAAGCTGAAATGATAAACAATGTTATTCATGGCTCTGAGTAGTCCGACTCTCCAAGGTTAACGCATTTTTAGAAATGAATTACCATGATTGATGGGGTATCAAAACCTGATTCTTTTCATCTTTACACATTCCATGATTATGAAGCAGTCTAATTTAAGCCTTGTGTAGTCTGTCTAACCTGCTCCTTGTGACGGTTGCACTGCATTTTTTTAAAAATTATTAAACCTCTCAGTTTAATTGCAAAAGATAATTTTCCATTACTGGTATGTGCAACTTAAAAGGGCACTTCTGTCTTTGGAGGTAACAAGCTATTTGTCAGACTTTTAAATGAATGCATTATGCATTAAGTAACCTATTTCACAAACTCCATTTTAGTTTGAATAAATTGGCTTCTAATTTAGCAAGACAGAATCTAGAGTTAGTATCTTTTTCTTTTATTTCTTTACTTTTTTTTCTTTTTCATTTTCGTCTCCGGTACGTAGCTTTAGGATGTTAGATAAGTGCCTTCTGAAAGTGAAAACAGTAAATATGCACTAAATAAGGAACAGCTTGCTCTGGAGTCTGAATTCTTTAGCCTAATGTCGATCCACTGAGTTGCCCCGTTTCTCTCTGCTCAGCTGGACCACGGGTTTACCATCAAGAGATCAGGGTCTTTGGACTACTACCAACAACCAGGAATGTATTGGATAAGGTATGAGATGGTGCAGCGCCAACAGTCAGTGTTTCCATGGCAACGTGCTGGCAGTCTCCATTAACCAGTTCCTTCAGTGGATAAACATGCTTTTTGATTTGTTATCCGGTCCATATGCTGCTTTATCAGTTTCGTTTTAATCTTGATTGAGATGCCACACCCCCTCATTCCCTTTCTTCACCCATCCCTCACACCCACATCGCCAGCTTTCTCTTCATCGCACATGCTCAGTATCAATTTCCCCTATAGTTAAAAGGACAGTGTATATAGAAAATCTACTAGATATGCTGAAGTACGCACCCTCCCCCTCCCTATTGCTTGTTAAGGCATCTGCTTCCCCTGCGCTCCTGTTTTGAAACACACGGAGCAGCAACAGGCTCTCAGCATATATTTTCCTCTTTTTCCATGCAAGATGTGGAGCTATATACTGTCATTTTAAACCCACTGAACACAATCCTTACCTTAGATTGAACAATGCATTTACATAACGTGGTATGTAGAAACTCTCCCAAGTTCAATGAAATACAATGCATTGTATGTGCTGGTAAGCTTGTGTTTCTAACAATGCATTCTTTCTCTTTTCTTTTTAAAACCCTTCTGATATGTATTTATTTTGATTTGATTTTTTTAAATATTGCATGAGTCTTTTGAATATATTTTTCTTCATCGTGTAACCGTGCCAGGGCTGTCGTTAGCTGGCTTAACCTGTATGATAAAATGGGACTCTGGGCGGGAGGGGGTTATTCTGGAGTGGGGGCAAGGAGGGATCCAGGTCTGATAGCACACGCGAGGCCCGTGCACCTCCTCAATCAATCCAGAGCCCTGGAATTTCAATTAAGTGGTTATTTGCTGACTTTTTTCCTTCTTACTACTCACAAGACCTGCGTTTTGATAGCTGGAGAAATTTTTGTAAGTTTCTTGCGAAACCTGCGTTTTCTAACACTGCAGTGATTGAAGCCTTTCAAAACTCGTCTGTGAGGTATTTGGAAAAACCCAGCAAATTAACCGCATTAGTGAAACAGCAGAGATGGTCACTGCAAGTGTTTCCAGTAAAGTAAAACTCCCACCCTGGATCATTTCACTGAGTGCATGGGTCAGGCTACAGCACAGTTTCCGTAAAACCTAGCAGTTCCCTGAGCGCCCACGGAGGGTTAAGAAGATTCTGATATGGATGTTCTGGGGAAAGAAAAAAACAAAATAATCCTACTTTTCAGGCAAAAAATAGAAAAGTATTTCCCATCCATCAGGTGAACACTGGCTAGCAAGAATTGAGAAACACTTTTACTCCAAGTGCTCGAATGTGTAGCGGTACCTGTAATTCCAGCCTATCGCACTTGTGTTCGTGGCTATAAACCTACCGCAACCTGCAAGGACATAGCAAAACCTGCTTGGTCTGTGTTGTCACTTGGCATCATGCTTCGCAGGTTCCAGCCCTGTAACACAGCCGAGAGGCGGCAGCGCAGCATCTGTGGTTTTTTGATTTTGAAGAAGTGGGGAATGGGGCCTGAGTGCCCAGCTTTAGCCAAGTGTGGGTTTGATAGTATTCCACTTACAAAGGAAAGATGGCATTTTGTGTCAAGCAAGACTTTGTCAAATAGTTGCAAATTTAACGTCTCCTCTGTAAAATGGGGGAAAGCTCACATGAGCTTTATTTATCTTCCCGGAGTTTAATTGCTATCCATGATCAGCTTACACTCCTTCTGTGCTTTACTATTTTTATTTTACACCAAAAAAAAAAAAAAGCAAGCTGTCTTTCCGTTTGCAATACACAGTGTTTGGATCTTTTAAAACCCCAGCTTCAGGGGGAGCCGGCCACCAGAAACAGGAGCCTGTGATAAAGCAAGCGTCTCCTCTCAGATTGGCCTTGACTCAGTTTAACTGCATAGCCCAGATTTTGAAACAAACCATATGCATTCTGGGGAGGTAGGGAGGGAAGACTCTAATTCTGCGACTTGGTAAATAAATAAACGCTATAAAAAAAAAAAAAGGGCCATTTGACTAAAGCACTAGTAATGGCTGCCATCAGCATACAAAATGACACATCCCTGAATAATGGGCTGGAGCAGATGGGCGATAATCTCTCTTATTCATACATAAACTGCTCTGTTTTCCAGCTGGGGGCAGTAACAACAATGTTTATAATTAGTGCTTTCTAAACAGGGCACCTAGTGTGGAAAGGCAAATTGGGAGAGCAGGGCTCCTAGGCATAGATGCTTAATTAGGAAATGCTATAATAGGGGGTACCTCCGAACAAGCACTGCCCTGTGTTTGGTCCTCTTTCATCTCCAAGAAACAAGCAACTGCTGTAGTGACCAACATTTTAGTCTAAATAAAACCATTTCGATTTAGCAAGTGTTTACTTTTTAGTAGTAACTGTAAGCGCAAATGCAAAGCATATGAAAAGGTTCATCAATTCCCATCTATAAAACACTTAATTTATCACAGGCCCATGAAAATTAACCTGAATTCACAAGTACAGCGGAAAATGAAAGCAGGTCCCAAGGAAAATGTAACGCTCCCTTTGTTAGTGTTAAACTATTCATTTCTTCTCCACTCCTTTGATCCTTTTCATGCCTAGTTTCTAGCAGTCCTCTAAAACATCTTTTTAAATGGCACTATTTCCTCTTTCAATCAACCAGAAAGCCTTTTCCTTCCTCTGCCTAAAAGACTTTCCTATTCAAAGTGCCTCAAAGTCCTAATTTTCTGAGCACTCATTCTACATCCTGTTTTATTCCCTTTCAGTAAGATAATATGTGCAAAAGTGACATGACTTTTTTGAGATACTAAACTACAAAAAACCTTATGTACAGTAATAGTTGTTGCAGCAGGTATGAGATATAATGCCTGGAAAATCTTACAGTGTTCCTTGAATATGAGGAACAGAAAAAACACGGGGGCCAAATCAGTAATCATTTGGACCCCAGACTGATGCATGTTTTAAGATCATCCCATCTAATGCTGTCGGGGCATCAGCCCTGCAATCAGGAGTGCAGAAAAGGCCAAAGCAGCCTCAGTAGGGAATGAGATCTGGAGGTGCCAAGTTAAACCCCTGCAGTCTGCACTGCCCCAAGGCTGGTGAAACTTACTGTTCTCAATAGCCAGGAAAGCCAGCCTTGGTGTAGCTGGGTAATGCCCATGGTGCAATCACATCTTCATTCACCCCAAATTGCCAATGTCAACTCAAGTCAAAGACAGCAGAGATCACCTATCTCCGAGCAGAGGTACTATGTTGGGGATTTCTTTTTTTCTCTCCAAAGTCAGCCCATTCTTTGATAGATCTTTTTGTAAAAGGGTTAAAGCCAATGCATTATCTTTTATAATTTCCCTCCTACTGGAACTTAGCAACAGTGACCACAAAAAATCCAAATGGCACCTGCATTGTCCTTCAGAAATAGCATAACTGATAGATTTACTTTCTTATAAGGAACTTTTCTTTAAGATGTACTCAACTGAGGCTTTTAACAGTTTGTGTGACTCAAGTTTTTTGGTTTTCTTGTAACTAAGCCAGAATACTAACAGTGAAAGTATTTCAAACCTTTAGCCCCGAGTGTTGCAGTGTCTGGTTCATAGCCTTCTTCAGCTGCTTTACCTGTTCCTCCAAATGGCAGCACATTTTGAAGGCAATACTTTGCATAACTTACCAATGTTTTCTTCAACCCTGAATTTCCTTACTGGTTCTGGTTTATGTCTGAATCTTAACATTATTTTAATCTGCTGCTGACAGAATGGCCTGAATTTTCTGCCTTTTCTGGGCTGATTCAGAATATCAAGGGAGCACCAGAGTGGGTGTAATCTAATGTAAAATATTAGTAGAAAATATTAGTATATGTAGTATTATATATAAGATTATTGTAAAATGTTAGTGTATGTTATTTTGTATATATCCACAGACACTAAAGGAGCAAAATAAAACCCAGTAAATGTATGGGAAAGTCATTAATGATCTTATCTATGTAATGACAACAGCAAGGAGATGAGTTACATTGGATGCTTAATGAAATCATCAATCCAGTCAATACTGAATTCATAAAATACTGGATTTTTAAAATACAGTTCTCACTGTCACAGTTAAAAAAGTATCTGAATAGCTCATTTCAAAAACCCATAGTTCCACCCTCTGTGTTTGGTTCCTAAGTCCCATTACTACGCATCTGTCGAGTTACTTACACCTGTCCCAAGTGGATACAATACACTTTCCAGTCAAAAGTTACAGTCAGATGTCTTGACAGTGGGACAAGGAAGTTGGGAATCAGGCTTGCTATCTGTGAAGTGCTATATTTAATACCGCAAAACCCTCTGTAAACGGAATATTGGTAAAAACAGGCAAACATCTAAACTCATTTAAAATCTCTTCTGCTCTCTGACTAAGAAAACCACGACTGATTTACAAACTATAAATAAAATTCACCCATGCAAACAACTTGGCACTAAGTCTCTTCCACGTGTAATTGAAAACAGCTGAGGAATCGTGTCTCTAAAAAGGGGGGATGTCAAAGAGTAAACACAAACTTAAATAGAGCAATATGAATTCAGCAGTTATACGTGTAGAATACTTGTCTTTGTATTCACTCACCAATACAGTACAAAGCATACATCAAATTGATTTGGTTTTCTTTCTTTTTTACTTTCATTTTAGCTAAATTCCATGCCAGAAGTTACACGGTGCGCTAAAGCACTGGCCTTTTGTATTTGGAGGTCTAGGTTCAAATCCACTCGATTAATTTGTCCCCTCGATGTGGTCATTTGCACGTCTCCAAATCACCGTGTAACTTGACTTAGTTATAACTTGTGCCTGAGGGGCTAAAAATAACATGTGTCTTTCACTCCTGGACTGAGGTGCATTGCTACATTTGAAGTACTCTCCAAAAAGTGTCTTGAATCATGAATCAATCACACACACACACACACATATATATATATATTTATATATATATAACCTAAGAAACCCATGGAAAAAATAAAAAAAGGTCAGACTGAAGGGCTGCCTGGCTTGTGCCATGAGCATTGTTTAATGGTCATTTTTACAGTAGGGAAACCCGCTGTTACATATCTCAACGTATCAAGGTCACTAGCCAGAAGCTTAAGGAAATAGGATAAAATTACCTAGGTGTGAACATTTAAATACGTGCATACACATACATGTATATAAAAGAATGCACTGGAAGAAGAATACCAGTGTTTCAATGCATACGTCCATGTAATTCCACACACTAAACAAAGCATCACGAAAATTGCAAACAAATTGCAAATATGCTCCTGCAGAATGAAAGCGAGTGAAGGGAAGGGTTTCTTAGATTAATGCATGAACAGCTGCATCCCCAGTTCAGTCTCCTGGCTGGTATGAATAATGGATGGGCTAAGAGGCAAAATGCACAATAATGTTCTTTTATTAATGAAATGAATATATATCTATATTTGGTGGCCAGCAGTAAATTAAGACAGGTGAAAAGAAAAACATCACTGCTCGCATTCATAAAATGCAGTTACTTCAATCCAATAATTATGGACCTGACAGAAAATAGCACCCCACAGCTAAAATAAGGTGATTCCCACTGCAAATCCAACGTATATATCAAAGCAGTTGTAGTTTTTGAATGTCTGTTCATAAACACTGAGTTCAATGTTTTCCAAGAAAAAAGAATTTGCGTGGCTCAGGAGTCCAGCAACATCAAGGCATAGAAATCAGGAAGAAGACACTCCCTGTGGCAAAATCGTGGAAAAATGCTAACTGCACCTTAGTATATAGGTGACAGAAACAATGATTTTAAAATAATGCTCTATTGCTTCAAATTAAATGCATTTCCAAAAGTGTCTTGTTAACCATTTGGTACCGGGTGTCAGGATTACTAAATGTTGATGCAAAATACATTAGTGCTTAATGAAGTGCTTCAGACCCATCAGCACCAAACTATTAGAGGCAATCCACTTATCTGCTGCTGGATAAGAAGCTCTACATTTCCTCATATGGATTGTAAGAGGACAGCTGCATATCTTAAATAAGAATGCTATCCTTGCATTTTAGTTGCCATTACTATCATATAGTGCTCAAAGTTCTCACTCTCTCACCTCGAGCCGGGAAAAAAAAATGTCAAAACGTGATAATGAAAATCTGGGATTTGCAGCCCTGTGAAGCATAAGTGCACTTCAGATCCACTTATTATTTATTGAAAGAGTAGCTTAAAGTAGAAATGCCCTAGAAATCCATAATGGACTGGTTCATGCACTGGCAAAGCACCCAGCTGAATAGTAGATGAAATAATAAATCTATTAAACCAAGGCAATATGTATAAGAGGCCTTTGTTACAAAAACAGTAGTAATATTGAAAAAAATGATTTTTGGAATATGCTCATGTGCACAAGAGGGTACAGTAGGTGAAAATTGCACTTACAAAACACATGCAGTCATTACTCAAATGTATCTTACCATCTCCCCTGCATTCCAAAGCATTAATCTATTGTATTTTGAAATTCTTTAGAGGTAAAAAATAACCATGACCTCATTAAATGAAAACTAGCATTTGTGCAGAATGCAGAGTGGCCATACCGCCTGGCAGGGTAGTAGACACTGGAAGTGCAAAACGTCATCGTAACATTGGACAGAATAAGCCCAGTCTTGCAAGTTCTGTAGGGCTTGTGAGTGCCCCGTCTGTGGCCAGAACTGACCCATTTTGTGGTTCTGACATGTGAAACACTGAACATTAGAATATGACCTGTGTATTTTTGCTTTCAATAGATAAATACTCCCTTCTTTAGCTCTCTGTGACTTTATACATTTTTATTCGATAAGCTCTTTGGGTGAGGAAGTCTCTGAATGTCTCTCAGCACAGGAGAGTAACCACAGTAATGCCCCTGAGTCTACAAGCATGCCTTTATAAAGACCAATTAGATGAAATTCAAGGAATAAATGGGATAAAAATGTAAAGAAAAACGTAATCTCGAAATATCTCAGGAAGTTTCTGAAGGGTTAGGAAGCCAGAAATATTTGGTCCTACAAACTACAGCATAGGGTGCTGGATTAGGTGGGATCATCAGGTTTTTTTGCTTACCATTTTTGATTAACGAGGCAGGAATTGCCTTTATATATATTTAAACAAATATATTTAAACAAAAGCACCCAAAGCTTCCCCAAAAATAGTAGAAAAGTAGTATCTTAGGGTTTATTTTTTAAAGACATCTTTAAAATCATGTCCTGATATTTAGTTATCTAGCTAGTTAGGCAATTTCCTAATTTTGTCCTTCAAAAAAAGCAATACCCTGGGCTAAATTTCAAAAACAATCTTTTATTCAACAGTATTCTCTATTGTGTAACTTACCTAATTTTAAGTACCTTCAGTTTTTACATATGCATTTGCCATTCTCATGTAGCATATTTTAAAAATCAATTTTGAATTTAATACAAGTATTTTTATTTATTCGGCCAGAAATGTTTAACTTTCTCAGAGGAGAGTATCTATTACCACAGGATGATGTGATGTGGTTTAAACTTTGAATAAATGCTTATTTCCTGTAAGCATAAAAAATCTTTTAAATGGAAATCTGTATTTTATAGAATGGTAATATATGCCATTCTTTTCAATTTTCACACAGAATTACATACTGTATGCAGTATATTCACTGTGTGTAAAAGATCTAGGTATTCTTCTGTTTCACATTAAAAGATAATCAAAAACTGAATTGGTTCAAGGCTAAGAAACATAGAAGGCGTTGAAAATAACTAATTAGAGCTCTTAACCAAAAGATTAGCAGTAAACAAAGAGATTCTCAGCAGATGAGAAGAGTTGGATTTTGTAGCAATTATTATTTAACATACAGGGATGAACTTATCCAAGTTAATTATTTTACCCCTTTAAGGTAGTGCTCTCTAGGTTCTAGACACAAAAAGAATAGTTCAGCAATTTAGCCTAACTAAATCCATTTGCTATAGTAGTTCTGTACTCTTGTCCATCTTTCTGTCTCTATTACATCATTATTGGATGCTGATTGCATTATTTTAGAGCAGGGATTGCTATAGTGCTATTCTGCACCGGTATGATGGATTTAGTTTTCATTTTGTTCTCAAAAATTTGTTGGCTATAAATACATCTCTCCTCTCCTATGAGACTCACACTATAACTGGTAAATTTTCTGGAGAAATCAGTCATGTATATCTCAAGAGAAAACAATAAATCCTTTGAAGCAGAATAACCTTTTGGCTGCATTCTTTTAAATAGAGATTTTCATACTAGGGACAAATTTTACAAGCCTTAGCAGTTAAACCTATTCAGTTCTCAAAGTTATCTTTGCCTCCAGTGCCATGATGAGATATTTGTTTGCATTTTGTATGCCATCTTACTAGCCACCTGCCTTTTCCTGTTTTGCTTTTTCCAAAAAAATCACGGGCCATGTTTTAAGAAGGCAGCCCTGCTTCAGAAGGCAGTTAACTATGTGTCAAAGTGCTCTTGCTGAACCAAGGCCATCCTGTTGAACTTGTAATTTTACAGCAATTTCAGGGACTGCAGTCTAATACCCTGTAATCAAGAAAACAGTAAAACCCGGTCCCATGCTTGAAATCATTGGCCAGAGTTGGGCTGCCCTTACCTGGGTTGCAGCTTCCCCTTGTAAATGTTCCCGAAAAAGCAGAAGGAAGGATGTGGTTAGAAGTCACAGCCGTCTTATGAAGACTTGCATTCTCAGTAGTGTCAGAAACTGATCAAAATATAAAGCCCATCAAGTAAATGTTCTTCCCTATTTCTAGATACTCTAGATAGACCTAGATAAAATTAGCGAAGTGTTTAATTCAATAGACATTGGTTAACAGGAGGAGACAGGGTGGTCAGGCTAACCAGGCCTTCCCATCAGAGCTCTTCAGCGTTCTCCCTAAGAACATCCATTGAGCAGCATGAGGAGGTGTCAAAGAGCTGGGCTAGCTCCCTTCGGTGTTTGTTTTTCTCTTTTGTCTGACAACTTCATCACAATTCATCTTTGTTAGCCGATTGCACTGACTTGAACATGGGTGAGTGTGTATCAGCCTTCATTAGGTCAAATCAGAGACAAGCGTACATCTCTGCCTTGCCTGTAGAAACCTTTATACTTTGAGAAGTATACACCCTTATACTTTGAGAAGGGTGGGGGGAAGGTCAGTCGGTATTTGGCTTGAAATTTGAACCTATTAAAGGATTAAATTAATAGCATCCAGAATTAGAACATATGGCATCCATATATATGGTACTGTATCTGTTTGATGATGTCACACTACTTCTTAAGGTTTGGGAAATGCACTTTTTAAAGCATTTAGCTATGTTGTGGGCTAAACCTTTCAGACCTGACTGAGACAGAACAGGTTTAATTTGGTCGGAACATTTATTATCCCTGGTATTTGCAGGCCACATAAAAACTCATGGTTTTCATTAGCTTTGCATTTCACACACAGCCTAATTTCATTTATTCTTATTTTATGCCCCTGCCAGACCACCGCTCTTGATAAGGAGAGGCAGGTTTTCCGACGAAGACGCAACCAGGATGTGAGGGGACGTTATAAGGCACAGCAAGCTCCACCTGAACTCAACTCCGAATCGGAAGACTATTCACCAAGTTCATCCGAGACTGTTCGCTCACCTAACTCACCCTTTTAATAAAACACTTTTACTCAAAAGTCTTGGCTTTAACCCTTTGAGACCCTGAAAATCCTTCAGACCTGTGTGAAGTGATTACAGCTGATCTATCCAGCAGTAAACGCTGGGGTGGTGGAACACAAAAGGGTGCTCGCAGAATCTTTGTAAGCATAATTTCCTAATTGATTGAAATACTTGTTCTCTGTTTAGATTGCAACTTGCTGCTAATATGATCCTCAAAGGGTTAAGGCTATTTTGCTTTTTTATTTAAAGATAGAAGCAGTGAATGTTTTCATCAGTGAAGCTAGGAACTGCAGTATGTAATTTTAGCACATGTTAACCCTCTGAGTAAACGATCAACTTAAATCTTGACAACCCACATTAGGGCTTTATTCTGGCTTTTTTGCTTTTATACGCACATATCTTTTATAGTACCTTAAAGTTCCTTGCCTGTTTCTGGCCAAAACAGTATCAAACGCACTATTGCTTAGGGGTTACAAATATAGGCTTTAAAAATGAAAATAAAATTAAACAAACAGTATCTTCTATAGCAGCTCGTTCTAAACCTGCATCATACTTCCACAGGGAGTGACTGTTGTTGGAGGATATTATGCAGGCTAAATGGGAAATTCAGTTTAGGGCAGCCTCATAGTTTACAGAAGATGACATGATGATGGCCACAAAACGTTGCTTCCATGTCGTTTGCTGCTAATGACAATGCAGAGTCTTGGGAAATGGCTTGAGGACACGTTCTGTCATGTAATGGTATGTAATGATCTAGTTGAGAAGTTCCTGGTTCCTTTGCCTCACATTCAGAAACGTACAGGCATCCTCTCAGCATGACCTGATTATTCCGGGAGAGTCACTTTTAAAGATTAACATTGATGAGAATTACCCTTAAAATTGCTAGAGTATTTCTAAATCGGGGAAAATACAAGTCATTTAATATATATGTAAAGCCTAAGCTGAATTAGTGAAAGTTTTGTCGTAGAATGGAGAAACTAAAAATGATTCACCAGTTCTATTTGTAATATTTAATAAAATGGGCATTTACACGGAGTATACATATTTCTGGTTTGTTAAAACCTCAACACAGCGTTATAGCATTTTATTTAACCATTATCCTAAAGTTGGCTTCCACAGAAATATTACACTTTGTAGACTTTTGCTTCAGATGTGATAATTTGGAAGAAAAATTATAAAATCACTTGGAATTTCACTTGAATGAAAAAGGGAACTTCCAAAATCCTATTCTAAAACAAAAAACAACGTTATGAAATTTATACTTTCTCTTATTGCTCATCTAAAATGGAAGTTTTCTCCTCTGAAGTTAAAATTTTCTCAGAGTGTTTTTAAAAAGTCACATAAATGTGGTTTCCTATCTCTCCTTGCCCTTTTTCTCTCTTTCTTTATCCCTTTTTTTCCATATCATACAGCTAGAAATATTAATATGCTGCCCAAAAAGATATGCTGACTTTTCTGATCTTACTGGGAGGTATGAATAATTTTTTGAGGAATAGGGCAAGCTGCCCACAGTGCCATTTCCACTGAGTTGTGTTTGCTCATGGAACTGTCCCTATGAGCCGTTGTTGCAGCGGATGTGTACCTGCAGCTTGTTGGAGCTAGCATAATGCTCTTTTGCATTTCTAGTTGGAAGTATCCATTGAACCGTATTTCAAGAAACATTGAAATTGTTTTGTTTGTCCATCCTTTAAAATGCATCTTTCATTGTCTCAGTCATGAAAATGTATGGATTAAAAGCTCTGAAGATTTCAAATACAGGAATTTCATCTTGTGAGTCTTCACACAAGTGGTACAAGTGTTCCATACAGAATGCAGTTAATTTGACCCAATGTTAATAATCTAGAAGTGAGACATTTAGTTGAAACTAGATCTCCGGACTTCCTTGGTAATACAGAGAGATGAGCGTTTCCAGGTTTGATTCATCTCACGGGGGCACGCATTTTAGGCAGGACTCATGCTTTGATTCACCTATTGCTCTCACTCCATTGGCTGTAGAAGGAACTGCTGGTGGAAGCTTACATCAGACACCAAACTTGAGATCGTGAGTTTAGTAGAATTAGTCTCACCTTAAGCCATCAGGAGACTCTGATCTCTGAATGTATGTCCATGGGCAGAAGGCCTGTGCACGGCCTCAGTTACTCTCTTTGGAACCTGAGTAACCCAAGTGAAACAAAGAGATGTCTTGCTGGGGAACTCCACAGGGGCAAGAGATTAAATGATAAAGTAACTGCCATACAAAGTTCTCAGATTTTAGGGTTTCTGAAAGGGCTACATCTGTGGCAGATCCTTGACCGTGCCCATCAAACCTAGAATCACTGCGGAGAGCAGACCCTTGGTAGATAGGGCACAGCCACCACCATTGTGATGTTAAAGGCTGTAGCTTGATAACATTTGGGTAGGACAGGGATTATTTTTCCATGGGACCAAACCCTCAGCCAGGGTAAGTCCCCCCTTGCCACTTACCTACATCAATTTACAGTAGACCTGGATCTGGCACATGTTTTTCCATCATTGCCCTTCCCACATCATATCACAGCCTTCCCTTTAGAAGAGATACAACTCAATCATGTAAATGCAGGACATACATTTGGTAATAAAAAAGTGTCCATTAATACCACATGCTCCTTGACTATTGGGAAAATTTGGCAGTCTTAAAGCAAAGGCTGGTGTTCATTCTTCTTAATTAGAGAGGGAAGTCAGGAGAAAAAGAATATAAAAATATGCTTCACCTTATGCATGAGAAATATTATTCAAAAACCCATCTGGGATTTTCCTATCACCTTTGCTTTGCTTTGGAATATGGGGTTATCATTAAAATAAGATGTTTGGCTCCTTCATCTTACACCATCTTGTACTACTTAAAATGTATGTAAAAATAATCCTAGATCCTGAAATCCCTACTCATCCCCAACGCCTTATATGTTTCTGATCTTTGGTTCATGTTCTATGAACATAACTATAAAAATATTTATTTTAAGTTATTTTTAGATCTGTGAGAGATTGGGTTTCAAATTGCTGATAGCCTCTTTTTAGGCTTCAAGGAAAGTTATCTGAATATTTAAACTGTTTTAAAAGTGGTTTCCATAATGGTTTTAAATATATCCATATACATTTTTAAATATAACCATATATATGTATATATATGTATGGTTTCATGGAAATAATAATGGTTCAGGCTTGTTTGGCAGCAACTGCCCCTTTTCTTGTCTAACCTCTGAATTCCTGGGGGTAAGTGAAGACAGAATATGTGGCCCTAAAAATACTTGAAATGCCAGTGAAAAAAAGAAATCAAAGATAACAGTCTATTTCTAATGTGATAATCTGGGAGAGCACATAGCACACTGTGGTCATTTTACTGTAATACATACCAGTCCTCCTGACTTCTTTCTTCATTTCCCTTTTGAATCATTGCATGGTATTGGTGCTAAACGTGACAACAATTTTTTTTTAATGCTTATTACATCTACAAGGTCAACTTCCTCCCACCAAGCCTACGTAGTTAGCTGAGACGGATGGCAGTCATAGTAGGCACCGTCTATCACCAAGGAGATGGAGAGAAGCACTTCAAAAGCATGATTTGGGTCATCTAATATTTGGTCTCTGGAGATGCCTGTCGGTCTGATCTTAGTATTAACAGAAGAGTAGAACAGGGTCACTTCCAGCTTAATTCCTCTCAATTAAATGTAAGTGGGGATAACGTGGACTCCAACCTAAGTGCAATATTCTAGTGAACTTACGTGCAGTAAGCAAACTTTGATGTGAAAATGTAGTACTGATAGGTGATAGCACAGGATTAGTTAAACGGTACTGAGCTGGGCATTGTCTCATCTAGATGTATCCATCCAAGAGTTAAGAATCTGATCTAGGGCAATCATCTAAACTTCCCTTATAGTTGCTAGAGACTGGCTTCTCTAGTGGATAATTAAAATTCTAGGATGGATGAATCACTCACTAGATAATGTGTCTAGCCCAAATATATTTAGAACATGATTTATTAAGTCATGACATATAAATTAATATTTCTGTAAGTTACAATTTTCATAGCATTAATGTACAAAAAATCCAGAATACTATGGTTCTACTCAGAGGGTTAGCAGAAAAGCACTAGGCATGCTGATTACATTGGTGTATCCAAACTGCTTTGCTTTTTTAGCCAGTGTTTGCTGATTTTTTTCAGAAAATTCTTGAAAAATTTCAAGTTTGAAATAATTTAAGTGTTGTTGTTTAAGGAATTTCTATAACCAAATTAATCTTATTTTTAGCTTAACTTATCACAGGAATAATATGTATCATTGATGCAGTGTAAGTCTGTAGTTATCAATTTTATTAATTCCACAAGTGATTCCAGAAATCTCTCTTTTTTTAAGTACTTACTATAGAGCTTACAATGGTGGCATAGGTGACTGAGACTGTCTTTCTTATTGCTAAACAAACAATATTGTAATTTCAAGAAAGTCCTAAGAATCAGCTTTTCAGTTTGGTAGTGTACTAGTTAGGGGAAAGCTATCTCATGACATGCATTGTGTAAATCATCTTTGTAGATGAAGATTGTTCATATTAATGAACACATTCTTTTTCCTTGACATTGTAGCAGAAACTGTTTACTTGTTAATGAACAACCAATACATTAATTTGCTTCAGACTGTTAGAGGGGAAAGTGAAATTCCAGTCATTGACAATGTTATTGCTTTACAGTAGCCCTCATCTAATTTAAATGTGGTGCATACTACAATAAGCAAAGCCAAACCTGTGAATAAACTCCTGAAAAAGCCTGGTGGGTCTTTATTCAGTTGGGTGCTCGCATACAGTAGCATGTGACAGGAGGAAGGCTTTCAAGAATTGTTGAAATGAAAGTGATATATCCACAAATAAGAGCTAAATTGCAATCCTTTCCCTATGGGGCATATATGTTTAAAAAGAAAAAAAAAGAAAAGAAAAGAAAAATTGGCTCAGAGGTTTGCAGTGCTACTATATT